AAAGATGACACAAGCGATTTAAATTTGAGTGCACGGGAATCATTCTTCAGTAAGCATGTGTTGAAGTCACCCATAATTATAATGTGATTATAATCAGGGCATAATTTGTCAAGTTCAGTATCGAGGCTGTCAAAGTAATTTATGTGCAGGTTCGGGGAATAAACAACTGCAACCAGAATTTTATTTAATTTAATGGAAATCTCAACAAACATGTACTCTACTGATTCGGAGTAAGGAGATGGGGATGCGCTAATAACCCGATAAGGTAAATCTGACCGAAGATACATGGCAACCCCTCCCCCACCCCTCCCAGTTCTATCGTTACGCACTAAAACAAATCCCGGTAAGGCATAGTGAGTAGATAAGAGAGAAGGTTTAAGGAAAGATTCAGAGATAAGAAGGACATCGAGGTGTGCATTGCTAAAGGTAGCCAGAAGATCAGTATAGTGGCCAGGAACACTCTGAGCATTAATATGAGCGATATTTAAGTTTGTAGGGTAGGACGAAAAAATATTGGTTAAGTTATCATGCAAAGTAAGTGGTTGGGAACTATCGCTATCGGCACTAACAAAGCTTGACGAAGGAGAGCGTGTAAAGAAACTGTCATCGAGACTCATTAACCCATCCATGCAAGTACAGTAATAAATAAATAAAATAATTATAGTAAAAAAATAATATAAGTACAAAAACAAAAAAAATATATAAATAATGTGCAAGCGCCTATTCGGTTGCTATGTAGTTGCATCAACAACCTCCTCCACTTGCCCAACACGTTACTACGTGTATGAAAATGTGAAATAACAATACGTAATTATCAGCGGTTTATACAGCAGGAATAAAGAGCAACATAACAATGAGCGCAAGCAACAACAAAACGTAACAAACTGACAATCATAATGAGTGAAGCTACTGAGTATGACATAAACGCTTGACAATGACAGGAACAATGAATGACATGACATAAGTGACAGGTGACACCCGGCATAACAAAATCAACACAATTATTAAAGTGATTAATTTCGAGCTACCGACTAAAAGGAAACACAAGTATAATTACGTTGAATGTGGAGATGGTACCGACACCGAGTATGAATCACCACCAGACGATAAAATGCGGATGAAATGTCATAATAAATATTGGATTTATTTACCGCGGGCACACACACCTATTTGCGGCGAGCATTACGCGTCCTCCGCAGGGTCTTGGGCAGCGAGTCACTAGACGGTTCCGCAGCCACCATGAGGTCCTCACCATCGGATGGGCAACGAGGGAATTTGGCCATTAGCTTCTCGAGTTGTGACATATGTTCCAGCTTGTGTCGTGACTTGTCTGGCGCAATTACCACTATTTTGCCTTCCACCGACCAGCAATTGGTTATGCCAAAGTATTTACGAGCGGCAATGAAGGTACGGTGACGCATTTGCGTTAAAAACTCCGAAATAGTGATGCCGGTGCCCTTCAAGGACTTTTTGTTGTCCCACACGAGGTGCCGGTCCTCCGTAGTGAAAAAGCGCACAAGTATCGGCCTCGGGCTACGGTTAGCATATCCCAGTCTATGGCACACGTGAATATTTGCTTTGCCTACCTCGGACAACTTCATACGGTCGTGCAGGACTGCAGTGATGACCTCGGGTAACTTCTCCTGCCTCGCCTCAGGTACACCGTGGACTAGCAATACCTTCCTCCGCATTGCAGTTTCATGTCTGTCGTGGCCCTGTGATAGCAGTTCGATCTGCGTCCCAAAACAATTAAGTGCGTCTAACACAAACTGCTTGAACTCGCAGTATTCGGCACGCAACCCAGCGATGTCAGCGGGAGGCACATCTGCAGCAGTGGCCCGGTCAAGCTTCACTTCATGGGCAGTCATTCTTGATAGGAGCAGTGCCTTCATCTCCTCAAGGCTCGCTGTCAGTTTAGATTCCACATCCATACTGTTGAGATTTGCTTGAAATCACAAAATCTTAAAATATTTATTGGAGAGGCTTAATGGTAATTGTAGGCAAGTAGAGGGGGTCCAGGACACAGTTGATGTATTAATACATTAAATTAGTGCAGTAATTACAATTAATATTAATTAAAATCGACAAAGTGAACACAAGCAACTGTTTACACTG